AAATTAGGGTTTCAGAAATTAGATATTAGTAATTGAGAATTTGACAAAAAATAGGGGTTAGTTTGTTATATTTAAAAAATCTACAAATTATGATTTGGTCCTTTGGGTACAATTTGCAATATTTAAAAATTTATAATTCCTAAAATGCCCTTGTAAATCAGCTTTTTTGGTACAAAACCACTTTACATACGGTTTTGGTGGGCAAAGTGAAAAAAATATTTAGTATATGTGGTTGTTTGCAAACCAAAAAAGTTTATATGGCAGAGCGTGAAAATCGCGATAGTTCGGATGGGTAAAAGTTTTTTACTCATATGTAAATGATGATATATGTTATCGGGTTGCTATCGGCTATATTGTCATTTTCAAATTTATTCCGTAGAATGATATTTTCTTAAGGACAATTAGAGGAGTTAAATTAAACGTGTGGCTAAAATAAACAAATAAATAAATAAGTGGCTCTTGAGTTCGACTGAGTTCGTTTATCGAGTTCGAAAACATTAATACTCAGTTAGAAGTGACTTTGCACGTTAATATATATATTGATTAACGATCCAAACTGAAGCTCGTTTATCATCTAGATAAAAACTTGATTTCAATTATCAAAAGTTTAAACTTGATTCGACTCGGCTCGTCTCGTCTATACATTTAACCCGTCCAATGAGAGAGAGAGAGAGAGAGAGAGGGAGAGAGGCATCCTCATTGCAAGGATGTTTTGTCAAAAGATAAAGAGTCCAATCAAATCCAATTTATTTGGTACTAATAATTTAAATTGTCCGGTGAAATTATGGGTTTAATGTGATTGTGTAGCCCAAAAGGGAATTTCTAAATCCATGTATGCTTGGTCCTTGGAGAGATATTATGGGGAATTGCTGCAATATATTGCTTACAATGCAAAACACAAGGGCATTTTCATTTTCTTGTGAAAGACACGTACGTGAAATTATAATAATTATATATAATAGCAAGCGTATAATCAATCCATGTGTTTTGTGGGCATGTGAAGCTAACATATATGGTACGTGTAGGAACTAATTTAGCAGTTTTAATTAATTGGATAATGACGTTGTACTAAACTAACTTAATTTTGCCGCAATTAATATTAAGTACAGTACTACACGACCATAACTCATGAAATCTTGATGAGGAGTTGATTTGTTTTGTGAAACTTTAATTTTATTACGAGAGACACGTACGTACGTATAATTAATTCGCCGTCAACACAATAATAATAATAATAATCCTTCAAGATGGATTATTTGTGACATCTATCATTATCCGACGTTATGTGAGTGAGTTTGTTAAATTAGGGAAAAACACTACTAATTGGCATGTAGGAAGACAGACAGACAGACCAACAGTTGTTCGGCCTGGTACAAGCAATTAAATTGATCATTTCCTTTTTTTTTTTTTTAAAAAAAATTGAATTTAGCGTTGAGAAATACCAAAATTCATATAATAATCACATTACTAATCACATTACTACCATATATGCAATACATTCCCAAGCTTTGGGTAATGAGACTATTATGTGTCATCTCTCATTGGATTTCTTCTCCCACCTTTCTTTTCTTCTCAAATTTCTTGGGCTTCGTTAGATTAACATTGGTTATTGGGTTGGGCTTACTCATCAACGAGGACAAAGCTTGATAATAATTGGCTTCAGTTTTTAACTCATTTATGGGCTCTTCATGTTACAGTTCATGTTGCCTGGCCGGCCGGTTTTTCAAATTCAACTCTAAATTCCACCACCTCAGATCAGGATATTTTAATTTAAGTAGGTACGAATAAATTTTCAAACAATTATTTATTGACTAAATTTTGATTTCTCTTTTCATTGTTTTTATATCACCACTATTATGGAGTGGGGCCCACTTGTTTAGATGTAGTGTGTAAAATTATTATACTGCTCGTAATGAAGGTATATTTTAAGCTTTTTTAAGCAGTTGGATTATTCGATCTAATGAGACCACAGTGTATTCTTATTTATTTTTTTTTTCGGTACAGGGACCTTCCGGTTTCCGAATCCACAGGGGAACCGACTAATCCGGAATCGAGCCGGGTAGGACCACAAGGGCGGCAAAGCTCTCCCTCAAGAACTTTAACACTGCTGCATTCCCAGGGCTCGAACTCGAGACCACTGGTTAAGCTGGAAGAGACCCAAGCCATCTCATCCAAGCGCTCTTGGGTGTATTCTTATTTATTTAACTGAGTAATATTTTCACTTGAGCCAACCCGCACGGACATACAAAGATATATATATATATATATATATATACTTAAATTGGGTTAATAAAAGCAACCACTACGTACGTATACTTGAATATTAACCAGTACTGTTCAATATTACTATGTGGAGATGTCCAAATTAGAATATTTGTATAACTTAAGCAGATGCTAAAGTCGTGCCAGTTCATGGAAACACGGTCAATTTGAATATTTGGTCACAGACAGGTGATGGCACAAAATTTGTCATGCACGTGATTTTTTCTCTAATCTTAATGTTTATTAAATAAAATGATTGATTATTCAAATGCTAGTTTGGCAGAATAATTGACCAAACACATGCGCTTGACAATGTTAGCTTCAAACATTAATTTGTTGATCTTTCAACACAGCACCAACCAAAGGATTACTAACAAATACTACTATACAATGTTAATTGCAATAAAAAAAATTGTGCTAACAAACAATATTTGACCATTACTACTGTATCTAATGGTCACGCGTAATTGAAGCGTTTTGTTTTCTTCATCTTTTTTTTTTTTGTACAGGGACCTTTCGGTTTCCGGATTCACAGGGGAACCGACTAATCCGAAATAGAGTCGGGTAGGACCACAAGGGCGGCAAAGCTCTCCCTCAAGAGTTTTAACGCTGCTGCATTCCCAGTGCTCGAACACGAGATCACTGATTAAGCTGGAAGAGACCCAAGTCATCTCATCCAAGCGCTCTTAGGTTTGTTTTCTTCATCTTTAGTACTGTATAAGTCGGCAATGAGCATGGAATATGATCATCATGTCCATTTGGTTGGAGGCATCCTATCCTATAAAACGGGAACATATATATTGAATGTAGTATTTAATTTCAATCGTGTTCGAGCCCTGAGAATGCAGCAGTGTTAAAACTCTTGAGGGAGAGCTTTGCCGCCCTTGTGGTCCTACCCAGCTCGATTCCGGATTAGTCGGTTCTCATGTGGATCCAGAAACCGGAAGGTCCCTGTACCAAAATAAAAAAAAATATTTAATTTAAACGTTTTTTATATGACTAATTAATTAGATCATCATGTAGTTGATACTTTTTTTTATTTATTTATTTCATTTTATGGGTGTTAGCATTCAATCAATTTTATAAATTAAGAGGCATGTCACTGACAAGATGATATCATATTTTTGCGCGCACATGCATGTTTATCTAGCAACATGATTTACAAAGATTAAACTATATTTGGTGTTCGCTAGAGCTTTTATTCATAATAATAGGTGAATAATATTGCTAATTTTGTACTTGATATTGCCATAATTTGGCTTTATATATGCTCGGTCTCGGAGAAGTAAAATTTAAAACACTTCAATTGAGATGGCTAAAGGATGTAACTAATAAAAAAAAGGGCAAAGAAAGAGATGATAAAAAGGGATGTAACTAATAATCACAATGTGTTCGACCTAATTAAATACGCATTTTATTTGATCCGTCAAGTTTAAATAAATTAGAGAAAAACACCAAGAATTACTAGACTAGATTGCTTCTTCTGTACTTCTAACTTGTTGATACCCATGCAACGCACGGGTGCAATAAAAAAAATATTTTTTATTTAAATATTATAAAATTATTTAAGACAATATGAAATTATATCATCCACAATATTCTATTCAGTAATAATATGAAATTTATTTATGTACTATTATTGTTAAGTTCTATTTTTGTATTTTTTTTTTGTAGGTTTTGACTATTTAATATATAAATTTAATTATTTATAAGTTTATAAAATATTATAAATGTATAAGATCATATGATATTTGCATACAAATTACTTGTATGTACTCATCAAATTGTCGTTTATCATAGTCTTATAATTTTTTTACCAATTCATAATTTGCACATTTCTTGATAATTGACCAATGATTAACCTATAATATTTATCTTCCACTATAATTATTAAGTGAATCAAATGTTAAAAACTTTGATAAATAAATTTAAATTTTTAGTGACTTTAATCCTTATGCAACATAACATTTTTTTACGGCTAAATATTTTACTTTTATGTTTTTTTATTTATATTTATTTCTTTAATTCATTTTTCAACCTATATAATGAGTTACACAATTTCTATTCAAATATTTAGATATATAATATATTTCCATAATTACCAAATGCCATAATCTAAATTATTACACATTGTTTTTTGTTAACATGTTTTTCATTTATAAAATAGTATATAAGGAAAAAAAAAACATATACATTTTTAAAATTTGAATAGTTTTTAATGTACATATATACTTCTAAGGTGAAACTTATAATTCTAAATTACACCCGACCATCAAATTTTATTTTTATTAGTATATTATTTAAAGTTTCAATAGTATTATCACTGCATATGATATATTCAATGAGATGTACCTTTTTAC